GCTATATTTTTGTGCGCCAGCAATACCCAGCGTGGGACGCGCGTATACCCGATTCGATTGTATTACTCATCAGGATCTCTACTAGCCTACCTTCATACTAAAATTTTTTTTAGGTAGAATTAGAGTAAATTAATCTATCAGACCTTGGGCGTGGTTAGATACATCGATCGAAAGGGTTTGACCTCCCGAGTCCAAAACTGTAATTAGATCTCAAATCGGTCAAGAGATGACGGAGCTATGAACTGAAAGTTTGTACTTGAAAAACAAACAAACTCGGGGCCATTCTATGAGCAGCCTCTATGTCGCGGCTAAAAATCATGCGAGAACAAAAATTTAATTTTAAATACTGTTTTTCATTTCGTTTGTCAAATTCCATTTTTAATACTTCAGTGTTTTAAATGATTTGCTGTTTACATTTTTGAACCGTCATGGAGGATACTTGTTCGAATGATATCTCGCTGAGTAAATCAGAAGATGGCATTACAGTATATTACGTCACAAGACCTGATGATCTATTCCTCTTTTTTAACTGCTGTCAGTCTTCACTCTGTCGGTTTTGAAATATGTTTATGCCATAAAACATTTTATGCCGATTTTTTTTTTCACTTTTAAAAACACCGAAATAAAATAGGATAAGTGGAGAATGACAGTTTGATATCTTGCGCATCAGTAGTACCGTTTAGAGTGCATTAAAAAAAATCCGTAAGCAATACTATGTGTCTCAGAGCGACACATTTTAAATATAGTTGTGTGGCAGTTTGAACAATATGATAACTTTATAACCGCACGAAAACCGTCAAGGGGCTCTCCCGTTAGATTTAATCCATTTCTATACAGCGTTAAAAGCGAGGCTGTTTACCCTGTCCGAACTTAACGTATTGATCTGTACCCGGGGCGTTCTGCCGCGTGAAGAATCTGTGAGGTTTTGGTGCTGTGATTATTTCGTGTGGGCTGTATTCTTTTCCGTGCAGGCACTGTGGGCTTCCCGCCAGTGTTATTCTGTGGAGGCAAGCTTGATTGTCATGGCGCTTGCGGCGAGGATAGATAAATGGGTAGACTCATGGTTTTTAAGAGATTTGTTGAGTCGCTTGATGACATTTTGACTGAGGGTCAGAAAGTAGCTTATTGTGAAGTGTTTCTATTATAGCTTTAGGCTTTATTTAGATATTGAAGAAATATATGCAAAATTGTAAGATTATGCTTCACATAATATACAGTTTAAACTTGTATTACGCTTATAACCCATGTAGTTTTGTAGTTTTAAACTTAGTTTTAAAGATGTTACTCTTAGTTTGCAGCCTTTTTTCTTTTGTAACACGCCTTACTGGAACATCCAAGATAGAAATAAATATTTATTAACAACTCTTCTCTTAAGTTAGTCATCACTCTGTTTAGGAAGGTTAAACTGCTGTTTACAATGACTGCATGTCTCGCTAGTTTGTTCCGTTCTGGCTGCCTGCTTACACGTATGTACATAAGTGTGCACGCCTGTAGCTACGGTATTACACACGCTGCTGACTAGAGAACGTAGGTACGTTGAGCACTATATTGATCTGAGAAATCGTGAAGATCATGGAAAAGCGTGGCAGTACAAGTGATATAGGAAGATAGTGATGCGGCCGGCAGGCAGGCGGCGCCAAAGCTCCAGGCTCAAGTAATTAATCTTCCACTGGAGTAGAGCGACATTACACACTCTCTCTCTCTTTCCCTTTTTTTATTTGATGGCCTCTCTGAATAACACCACCAGCGGATAATTTGTAGCCGTCGAGGTGGCATTTTTTGAATACCAGTTTAAATAAAATAAAAGGCATTTGTAACGTTTTTTTTAGTAACCTTTCAAAATGTAAACTAACATTTGATAAGACTGATAACATTGAGATAACTCATAAGTAAGTGACCAGTTGGTTCACGTCTTTTGATGGAAAAGTCAGTTGTGGAGAATACTTTATGTTAATACATTAATAATTTTTGGTAGTTTGTTAAAATAAATCACGTTTTTAACAATCCAGAATTCATAAACTAATTTTAAGTTAGATATGTTAAACTTTTCGTGTTATGTGCTAAACGGGTTTTGTAGGGAATTAGTTTTATGCATGTTTAAACAAATTTGCATAGTTGCTAAGAGTCTTATACTGCTGTATTATTACGGTAGTGTCATAGGTGACTGAGAATTCTGAATTCACATTCATTTCCTCTTTGAATAACTGCTGAATCAGTTTTGTTCTGGAAGTATATGTAGAAAAGAGTCAAGTTTGAATTGAGATTACTGAACTTGTAGGTAATTCATACTACATTTTTTTTTGGTGTATTCTCTAATCATGTACAAAGTTTGGTTCATACTTTTTTATCATCTTGTGTGTGGTAGTCAAAATTAGAGCTGGGTAGTATAATCCATATGATTGCTTGCCTAACAAGCAGTGATAAGTGGATGTATGTCACAAAAATAATTAACTAATCAAAATTAGTGTTTTTGATTATTCCAACAATTGGTTAATCAAAATTAATCACTAATTTAAATTAGGGTTTTTTGATTGTTTACTGTTTTTCACTTGTCCAACTATCTAATTAATTGAAGTATTGCCATCATGTTTGTTTGCTGTTAAGTGCAAAGCTGTATAATGAGTGTGCAGTACCCTGTGACTGGAGGGTCTCGGGTTCGATTTCCATTGTCACTAAACTTGTTCACCATTTCTTTGTTATTGAATAGCTGCTAAGGCTATCTGCAATTTCAGTAATTTGAATTGCTGATTATAGGAAAGGCAAATGACTGGCATCAGCAACCTGCCAACTCTCTGGCTACTTAAATGTTGAATAAAGATAACTTTGCTCTTTTTTTTTTCAACATTGTAGTATGTTTTCTCATTTATAATTGTGTATGTGTATTCCTTAATGTCGTATAAGCAGGTGTGGATCTAGGGGAGGGGTCAGGGAGGATCCAAACTCTCCTCACAAATTTTTTTTCAAGTAATTAATAACTGTATCATTTACTGGCAGTTGGGTCTGAAATTTACAGACATGGGTCTGACTGGCAGTTGAATGCGAGTGTGTGGTGTACGGCTTGCAAAAATTATCATTAAATATTTCAAATGTCTTTTGAATGAAGTTTATTTATTGGTTTATTTATATAACATACTGAATTTTTAATAATATATAGGTTTTTCATTCATTTTTACGGCCAAATCAGTTTTTCTTAAACAATTTTATTGTTCAATTGAAAGCATTTCTTTTAAGTGCCTAATAAATTTCAATAGATATTTTTACACTGCTTTTAATTCTTATAAGTTTAATTATTCTGATTGATGATTTTCTCTGTTAAATTGAATATTACTTTTTTTCAAGTTGCAGGTATTTTTGCATGGTTCAAGGGGTGTTCATAATACGATGACAGTATTACAAGTAAACACTGACTTTTACAGTAATAATGAGCTGTCTTCATTTTTTTTTTTATATTTTGCACATGTGCAAAAATGTGTATTTTTATATGTAGGATCTGTTTATTTTGTATAGTTTTATGCAAATATAAAAATGTGGCAGATTTAATTGCCATACTTGTCCAGTAAATCCACATGTGAAAGAAATTGGCTGATGTGGTAAAACTATTCTTAATGAGAATATTTATGTCTATTATATGTGATGCTTGATGCAGTTTGGGCAAGTAGAACTTCTTCAAGTGTTCACTTATACACATAAGTAAATTCTACTCTGATGTGCCACATTAGCTATTTGGTGATGTGCAAATATTTTGAAATATGCTAAAAAGCATGACTAACAAATGATTGTTGAATTTCTCATAGAAGGGGACCAAGGATCATTGGAAAATGGGCTTTCGTATGAAAGCCGAACTCTTCTGTTTAAAGCTTTTCACAATTTGATTGAAAGGTGAGTTGCATTTGTTGTTTGGAAAATTATGGGTAGCTGTAGAAAGAAGACTATCTTATTACATGTTGGACTTAATTGTATTTGGTTGGATTAACTCCTTATTAGTTAGGAAATTTATTGTATTCATTGAAATTTTACTCATATTTTTTTTTCATTTTAAACACTGCTATATACTTAGCTACCCTAGAGCTACAGATGGGTTGATAGGGACTCCATCTGTTTTTTTTGAAGACATTTTTTATTTATGCACCAAATTTCTTGTGGACCCCAAAAATAAAAATATAAAATTTATATTTATAAAAATATAAATATTAACAACTTAATATGTTTTATTAGAAATTATAAAATTTGGAATATTAGCAATCTATTTACTGAGCAGATGGTACACACACAGAAAAGCTTTAGAAAGTAAGTGTAATGTACATATTTTATTCAATTTCCAGAAATGGTGTGTCTAATTCTAAATCTGATTGATCACAACCACAAGAATCTGAGAATTTTGAGCCATAAGCAGAGGTGTAAGGTTATGGAAAATAACAGACCATCAATGTAACAAGGATGATCTGGTCATGTACCTTTTAAAGCCCAATGAAAAGCATTGTTTTTATCACAGTTGACTCACTGGGATTTGTACAAAGATTTTCATAGGATTTTAGTGGAGGATCAGCCAGTTGAAACAGAGTTTCTAGATACAGTTTGTAAGCTTAAGACAAGTTTGACAGTGTTGAAAAACATATTATTTACCTGAGCTTTTAAAAAAAGGAAAAATTGTTATAATTATTTCTGAAAAGTATCAGTAGGCTGTATTGTCACCAGCTTGAATAACCATAAAACAATAGTGATATTTTTTCTCAATGATCTGTACATACTTGAACCACAAAGGCAAGTTGTGTGTGCAAGTTAAAGAAAAACAGTTAAAAGAGTAATGGGACTTTTTTATGAGCAATATGAAAATTCTTTTACAAATGGGTGAATATGCCACATAAATATGGAGCCTTTTTTTATGTAGCATAGTTTCAGTTAAAGATTATGTTTTAGAATTTTCCTTTTTACATATGAACGTATATTAAAAGATGATGAAACATTATGGTGTTGAACTGGAAAACTGAAAAGTTATAAAATGGTTTAGTGTTAGAAAAGATATAAAAAAAACATGGAAAAGTAATTTGGAAGGGTTCTGTGCATTCCTCTTTATGAAATTAGGTATTGAACAAATGTTTATAAAATTAAAAAAAAAGAAATCAGCAAAGGGTTGCCAAACAAGGAAAGCAACATCAATTTTATTTAACAAAATAAATTTCTGTAGTTCTTATCATTGTCATATAAAAGTAAAATGACTTATCTCTGTAGTAACTACATAAAATATATGATAATATTTTAACTTTTGCACAGATGTCTTTTGTCTCGTGGATTTACAAGGTTAGGAAAGTGGTTCCTGCAACCTTTGGAACCAGGAGATCAAGCAGGACAAAGGTAATTTCAGACACTTTTGACCGAGTTTCTGTTTAAAATGATTATGTAATCACAATATAATTAGGTATCATATTTACCCCTTTAAGTGTCCTCCCCCCTTTTTTTTTTGAGAAACTATAAATCCCTGTCAGTTGATTTTTCCTGACTCATAGCTACTTGATCTTCAAAATGAATATTTATTACATAGAAATATGAGCTATGTCAACCCATAAAAATGCCAACTTTCAAACCAAAGCTAATAGTTAATCATGCTGCTTTTTAAAAAATGGTTGTCATTAAAATTATTAAGTGTGGTTACCTCACTGTTTTTTTCTACTGATACTGTTTAACATTTTATTGCCATTCTTTAAAAATATAAATTACAGGTCTCTCAATTCATGCTCTTGTTGGAAGTTAACTCTACTGTCACTGACTTTGCATTTCTTAAACCTTCATGTTGGAGGAAAAAGTAAAACATTTAAAAAAATTCACGTGATATTGTACAGAGTATGACAAACCAGCAAGGTTGCCAGGCAGATAATCTGGAGATTTGTATAGTTTCCATGTTTTGCTATTTGGATGTGAGATAAGATGTGTATCAAGATACCATGTCTTTAGTATTAAAAATAAACTATTTATATATGTAGTTATGTAACATTACTGATGATATGGGTAAATATTTAAGTAGTTTTTTCTTTATTTTTATGGTAAATGTATACTACTTAGTAGTTCTTGCACATAAGTTACAAGATTTAAAACTGATGTTTTGATTTTTTCCTCTAAACTGGTTGTTCATTAAGTTAAAAAATCAGCAATATTAGAGTTAACCGCCATCAGAGGCATAGCTAGAGATACCTGTAACTTAAACTTCTAATGATCATATATTTTGTGATAATTAAATAAATGTTTCATTTAAGAAATAGTTTTAAGTTTTTATTTCATTAAATCAGGAAATGGCTTCGCATCAGTCTTTAGTCCAGTGTCATACTTACTGTTTATTATAAACTGCTTTTTAATATTGCTGCATCATTCCCCTTGAAAATTTACTTCTTGAAGTATGATGAATTAATTGTCCAAATTAGTTTGTCAGAGAGGAACACACCAAGATACTAAGAAATAAATCAAGGAAGAATCCATAGTAATATATTTAATACAATTTTATTTAGCAAAAAAAAAGCATGTTTCAGTATCTGGATAGGACCATCTGCTTCACCACTATCAAACAAGTAGTATAATAAGTGCTCCCATAGCCATATGATATGATAAATTCTCCCTCCCAACTTTGTTCATGGAAGAGGGTCCATTGTCTCCTCCTAATTCCGAATGCAGAATGGTCCCATCCTGGATCCTTGGTTGAGCTATGAGATATGATAAATTCTCCCTCCCAACTTTGTTCATGGAAGAGGGTCCATTGTCTCCTCCTAATTCCGAATGCAGAATGGTTCCATCCTGGATCCTTGGTTGAGCTTGTAGAAGCATTAAAGGAAAAAATAAACTAACTTGTTATAGTTTAATTGGAGTGGAATTTGAATAATTTCACCAGATCATTTCAAAGAAAGACTTCCATAAATATTGCTTTAATAATTGGAGACACTAGTGATCTCATAGGAAGTTAGTTTATTTGTTTATAGAAGTTAATTTTTTACTAGAAATAGGTGTTTCCTAATAACTTCTTAATAAATAGTCTCCTAAAGAAGAAGAGACCTCATGAAGGTCTTAGTTTTTAACAGAAATGCTGAAAGTATCGCTTCTTAAAAAAAACTGTTCTATATATAATTCCCATAATTAAATGTTCTTTGAAACACTAACAATATTTTTTTTTCTCTTGTTTCACTATAATTAATGCACTTGACAAGACTATTTTAACCTCCAAACCCATGAATAACATTGAGTATTTTTAATTCTCAGTCATTTTTCTTCTTGTGAATAAGTACATTTTTGTACCAAACTTAAACTTTTTTGTTTCTCAGGTTCCCTATAATTAATGCACTTGGCAAGACAAGTTTGTCCACTAAACCCATGAATAGTAGAGAGTATTTTTTATCTCAGTCCTTTATTTACGTTTTTGTACTGAACTTGAACTTTAATTTTAAAAATTAGTTGTTTTTTATGTGCTAGTGAAAGATACTATGTATATTAGAAATGAATAACTTAAAAATGACTCAATACAGTTCTAAACAATTGATAAAAATTGCAATAGGCATGCATTGGATGTTAAATTGTTACTGCTTTTACTGTTCTTTACACACAATTCTGCCATTTGAGTATAATTTAGCTTTTAAAAAATGCAAATAATTTAAATATGGATACTATTTCTGTAGCATGATTCATATAACAAAAGATTGTAATGTAGAATTGAATTTCTTAGGGAAAAATTACTTATGAAAAACTATAATTTAGGTCCAGTTTTTTATAGTTAATGTGTACAAGTAAATTGTAATATTTCATAACATAACACTTAAAATCAAACTTGTTTAATATGATTAATATAGTTCACACACACACACACATGCATGGATTTTTTATTGAAACAAATACTTTGTTAGATCTTTGTAAACGTTCACCAAAATTAAATGGACAGTAAACATTTTTGATAAAAATCACATAAAATACAGATATTTTTTACACATTCATCTAAATTTGTAAATGTTCATCAAAATTAAATGGATGATGAACATTGATGATAAAAATCACATAAAATGCAGATGTTTTTTTCACGTTCCTCTAAATTTGTCCATTTTAGATTTCAAATTTGCTTTCAGCATTTGAACTGTAATTTGTTATAGTCTTTGTATGGGAATAGCTTTTCAGAAAAACATGTCTCTTACTATCCAGCCTAATTAATGAATTTTGGGAGTTGTAAGATAGATGTAAAATGCTATTTTTACATACCTCTGTGTTGGAATCAAAATTAGCCAAATAAAGAGGAATGTAGAAAGTTAAAAAGGAAGAGAAATTTGTGTGATTTGTATCACAAATGTTATGCCTGTTGATTTCTAATGCTGTGCCAGCTTTTGACGTTTAAAATGTAACTTATTCAGCATAACATTTCAGAAAACATTTCTCTCATTGTCCAGTTCAACTGACAGGTTCAGGTATTGGCCTCTTGGACAATGACTTATAGGAGACAAGATATAGATCTCAAATGCTATTTCTGTCCATCTCTGATTTGGAGACTGAAATGGACAATTGAAGAGAAAAAAAAAAATCTGCAATTTATGTTATTTTTTGGCACAAATGTTAACACCTGTCAGTTTCTAATGCTTCATAAGATTTCGATATCCGGTCATCTATTACTGTACAAAGTAATTAGACATCAATTCTCATTAAGCATGTTTTAATTCTCTGAAAATACCAGCCAAAAGATATTTACCTTTAATACATTCAATCAATTATACTACTCAGAGGTAAATGTTAATCCATGGGTTAGGTCATCTATTACTGTACAAAGTAATTAGACATCAATTCTCATTAAGCATGTTTTAATTCTCTGAAAATACCAGCCAAAAGATATTTACCTTTAATACATTCAATCAATTATACTACTCAGAGGTAAATGTTAATCCATGGGTTAAGGGAATAACATATTTAGTTATATTTGTTGTTTATAGCATTCATTTCTCCTTCTCCTTCAAATTCTTTATTCATGGTGAAAGTACAGTCTGTACAGCTGTTGATGTCCGACAACATCCTGCTGTTTATAGACTAACCAGGAACCACCTGTTTCATGCACAGAGCTCCCACTCTGGTTTAGCCGGTAAGTAACCAGCTAGAGCATTCTTTTAAGAATGTAGGCTAGAACTGGATGGTTTCAAAATGGAATTTAAGTTAGCTAGATCTGATTAACACAAAGCAATTTGTTTCTGTACTTTTAATAATATTGTGGCTACTTCCTAAGAGGAATTAAAAAATGCTATAAAAAGCACAGTATTATTAACTTAAGTAACAGTTTATTGACCAAAGATATTCCAGTGTAAAGTCTGATAACAGCTACTTAAATATGTATGCTAATGAAGTATCGCTTTTTGGTATGTCCTTTACTGTTCTTTAGTTCACTAAATACCTTTTGTTTTGTTAATAAAATAATGTCTTAGTCACACTTTAAAATATGTTGATTTCTGTCCACTTTCTGTGGTCAGTGTTACATAAAAAGGGGATCTTCTATGAAGTAATGACTGAGAACTAAATATTATATTGCAATATCAGTCATATCCTGCAGTTTTATACTTTGAGAATATAAGAAACAGATTAAAAGTATAATTAAGAAGTTATTGTTACTAAAGAAAAAGATAACCTTGTAACAGTGAAAAAGAGAAGCAGATTACTATGAACAATGTAATAGTATTATGATAGTTAGAAATTTTGTTTTTCATAAGATTCTAGTGGTGATGATTTTGTGCAAAAATTAAACTTAAAAACATCACATGTTTTGAACTTCTAGTTATTCTGAGTCCATATGGAATGGCTGGAAGCTTGACTGGCCAGAGTTACAAAGAAACAGATTCTGGAACTCAGAGATTACTTGGAGAGTGGAGACAATTTTATCCATTGGCCAATAAGGATGAGAGCAGTAAGGACTGTAGTGGTGAAGATGATTCACTGCCTTGTGCTGTTGAAGTTATTGTTGGTTAGTTTTCTTCTACTTATACCTTGAAATACTGAAACACAAGATTATGCATAGCTGCAATGAAGGTATCCTTTAGTTTTGGGTTAACATGAATGTTACAGTGTGTAATTTTATGTACTCTAAGTGACTGTAGGTTTCATGATTGAGATTGCCATTTCAGAACATCTCCAGTGAATATTAATGGTCTATATTGTGTGTTTCTCAATATTTATTTTCCTCTTTACTCTTTCAGACATGTTAGATTTTACATTAATGTTCTGTTTGAATGCTTATATTACTGACATTTATTATAATTATACTGTATTCTGTATTTCAGGTGGGGTTAAAATGAGGTACCCTTCTTCTTATGTCTTAATTGCTGACATTGAAGAAGCCACGTTGTCAAGAACTTCAGTCCCTGTAAACCATGTTTCGGCAAGTAACATACCTAGCTTTCACTCTGCTGTGCAGCCGTCCCTCAAGTCTGGTTTTCATGGTGGTGTCCTGACTCCTCCAACATCCCCTCGTGATCCTTCAGCAATGATAGGAAATTATTCTACCACCAAGCACACTTCATTAAGTACAACATTGATTACAGGTTGCCAGCCACGTTTTTCAGTCTCTTTCAATTCACATATTCCTACTACATTTAGCATGAGATCGGGTGTTTGGCAAGACAGTACAACTTTCCATCGTGTAGGATTTGTACCTCCTCCAACAGAAAGCACTGGGGTAGAGGATGTGATTGGTCAATGGAACTTTTCTGATCCCTGTGAGCATGTGGATTGCTCATGCTATAGGTAAATTCAGTATTTTATTTTATTTTTTAAGTTTGAGTTATTGTCTTTACATGTTTACAAGATAATTGCTTAACGATTCTAGCATCTATTTTCTAAGCTAATTAAATTTCCAAATTTTTCGGAGTGCTGCAAATTTTTTCACAAAATGCAGATATGTAGTCAAGGAAGTAATTCACATAGAAAAGTTACTGAATAATGAATCATGAAAAGCATAAAGTAATTCAAGCTGTGAAGCTAATGTAAAAATTGTGAGTAAACGACCCGAGTGTGATAAAAATAAATAAAACATGGGCAGTTTTCTAGATGTGTGGAATGCTGTGTCTATAATTGGTTAATTAACGTCTTTAAAAATAATGTAGGATTGAGAATGAACTTATCCATTTTACTCTTCAAAAAAAAAAAAGATTTTGTCCAATTGAATAATTTCATTTCTCATGTGACTAAACAGGTGTAAGAATAAAGGAAAAAGTGGAGTTTCTAACAAGTCAGGGTTGGGGAATAATAGTTTAGGAAACCTTCCAAGTCAAGGTGTCCCCACTAGTGATGGAGAAAATGTTGGGAAAACAACTCTGACAAGTACATCTACTGCTAATGCTTCCCGTAAAGGAGACAAGTGTGATAAAGAAAGATCTCAAGCACGTGCTTTCCGAGGAACATTCCCTTTTCACAAGCGAAATCAACCTTTGGAAGGACTTGATGCTGTTGATCTAGACAGCTGTTTTTCATCTCGATTCTTAGATATTTCGTCGGGAAGCCCCGGTACCATGACATCAGGTTCCAACTCGAACATTATGTTTAACTACAGATCTGGGGTAGTGGCTCCATCCACACCTTGTACCTTACCTCATTTAAACACTACACACACTCAGCCTTCATCTGTTGATTCTGCTCATCCTGGGACCCCCACACCAAGTTTACTTGAAGGCCCTAATTCTCAGGACCCAACAATGCCCACTCTTTCACCCCATCCACCACATATAAAGGAAGAATATGAATCTCAGGACCAAGTAATCCATACTCATAGTCCTGCAGTTTCAACAGTTACTGTCAATACCAGTAGCATGAGGGATAAACCTCCAACTGATCAGGTCAGTGGAATTACCAACATTTTCACAAGAAAATTTTTTCATGCCTTAATTTTTAATAATATCAATAAATTGGATGATGGTATCCATTCAGAATTCAGATTGTTTTTTGCATATTACAGTAATCAAACTAAAAGCACATTATACAGTTAAAGGTCGTATAAATCTTCTTGTCTTATAATAATTTTGGGTCTTGTTTTTTTATTTTTATAATCTTAGTGAAAAAGGACACTTGAAAAATTATTTAATATATAAGTTAATTCCTTTCACGTTAGATCAATCTGTTGGACTTACTTGAGTTCGTTGGTAACTTTTAAGCCTATGAGCCTTTTTTCTTCAAAGGATTGGTACAAACATGAAATAAATACTGTTGATTTTCCTGGTCATTGCTTCATTCATACAAAATATTAGAAAACAATATTACATGAAAGGTTCATCACTGTTGTTGCTGCCACAGCTGGCAAACTTCTGTTATGTACTATTTTTACTAGTATCTTCTGGTTATCCTCAGACAGCTTAGTTAAATAAAGAAAAATATAAAGTTTCCAAGGATGATAAATAATATATGAACATTCTGCTTCAGCATGGAGGGGTCCTTTCTCTTCCATAAATATGAGCATACTGATAACTAGTTAATAAAGATAGCTAAAATACAACCAAAAATATCTGTTTGGATCTTTTTTTTCATTTTCTCTGGATGTTGTTTCAACAACAGCTTGTGTGTGATAGAAGTTGTTTCTATGTATTTTGTAAATTTATGAAATATCATATAATGTTGGCATAAACATAAATAAGACAAGTATTCAACACCTGACAATTTATGTGAAGAAAGGAGTAGAAGTCATCATAGCAAACATGTATAATTACTATAATTGAAAAAAAAGATATTAACTGTATTATTTAATTTGAAAAAATATAAGCAGATTTTTTTTCTCTGAAAAAATACCATATCTAATTGTTTTAGCCAGTGAAGAATTTCAAGTGGAATTTTAATAATTTGTAAGGTATAACTTAAATAATATGAATTCTGAATTAAGTGAACATATGATTATGCAGAACATTTTTACATTAATTATTTGAACAGCAGGTCACGTCACCGTACCATACTTCCCTAAGTGTAGGAGATGCTAGCAAGACATCTGAGGGCTCACCAGCTACAACAGTAGTGAATCACTGGTCAGCAGTTGACGATCCTGTAGTAGGTTCCCAGCCCAAACTTTCTGCCCAAGGTTTAAAAAGGCCAGTATTACCATTCAAAACTGAACTTGTTGAGCTGGAAGAGGAGGTTCAAACTAAACTTTTGTACGATTTCTGTAGCATACAGTCAGTTACTTGGTAAGTTTTTATCTAATTTTAAAAGCTGAACTGGTGGATTAAGGTTGTTTGTTATCAGAAGTGATTATTTTATAATATTTGGTTACGGTAAAACGTCATTAATCCAAAAGCACTTTTAATTAAGTTGTTCCTCCAGATTATCAAAACATTAGGATAATTGAATCAGTCTCTTTGAATATAGTGGATACTTAATAGCATGCATTATTAATCAGTGAATGAAAAAAGGTTGGCATGCAACTAGTAAAGAGAAGACATCTTTATGTACAACAAACTTATCAGTTTATTATTTTATATGTTGTCAGTAGTTGCACAAGTTGCATAACCATAATGGCACATTATGTCATTATCTTCACATATATCATCATTATGTCCAAACCAGTGACTTGCTTATAGAATACAAAATATGTAATACATAAATTGCTATTTTGTATAAATAAACATAATGTTTTAATGATACTGATATTTCTAGATGTCTTTGCTTTGGAGCACTATGATTTGACATGATAGTAGTATTAATCATTCTGAAGATCTTTTGATATCTGTGTAGTTCATATGTAAAACCTTACTGTGAAGGTCATTCTCAGAAAATTGTCATAAACCAGTATTCAGTGGAAGTAAAAGTTGTTCTTCAGAAATATTGTCATAAACTGGTATCCACTGGAAGTAAAAGTTGTTCTTCAGAAATATTGTCATAAACCAGTATTCAGTGGAAGTAAAAGTTGTTCTTCAGAAATATTGTCATAAACTGGTATCCACTGGAAGTAAAAGTTGTTCTTCAGAAATATTGTCATAAACTGGTATCCACTGGAAGTAAAAGTTGTTCTTCAGAAATATTGTCATAAACTGGTATCCACTGGAAGTAAAAGTTGTTCTTCAGAAATATTGTCATAAACTGGTATCCACTGGAAGTAAAAGTTGTTCTTCAGAAATATTGTCATAAACTGGTATACGCTATGAGTACAAGTAGCTTGTATAAGTAATTATCATCTTGTTTTCTGTCCTGATCAACTCGTACTTGACTCGTGGCATCATGTATGGATTACTGAACTATATACCCACAGGAAATGCATGTTTGTTATGAGAAGTAGCTGTTCAGATTCAGAATGTGAATATATGAATTATTGGTTAAATTTCCTATTGTGAATATGAAAGATCATCCAGATTGTTGTTGTATGGACTGTCGGGGTTTAATTGTGTTATTTTATGGAGTGGTTTACCATGTTCGGGCTCTTTTATCTCTGAACATTCATCTTGGGATTTTGTTGATGATGATGAACAAACCCATCATCCACTCAACAGCAAAATGCTATACAGAATTTCTAAAAGAAAAGAATCAGCTCAAAGCAAAGTTGGTTTGTAATAATAAAAGAATGGATTTAAAAATTTGGGGAGATTGTATTAGAAAACTCCATTTTTTTTATTTTAAATTAAACAAGTGATAGCTTACACTAACTATGTAGAGTTGAAGTCTTTGTTTGTCAAGGGGTCAAAAAACAGGTTATGTCAACCTGTATATTTGCTATTTAATTAAGAAATTATGTTTCCAAACACTGGCAAAGAGTGAGGCCTTGCTATCCAATTCAATTTTGTAGTATTCTTAACCCTTTGTTTACTATAACTTGGTACTGCTACTATTTCTTTTTCAAAGACCATATGGGCACACCCATTGTTAGTCAGATCTAAGAAAACTGTTTTATTTATTTATTTGTTTTTGCAATTTGAATCAATAAGATAATCTGTTTTCATTCAAAATAATATAAAACCATTTTCTAAATTCACTGCAGTTTCCTTCCTTTTTTTTTTAAACTCATATTTTTGAATGCCGGTCACGATTTGTAGTCTTAGCAGTGCCAAAACCCCTTGGTATCTTGTATATACCAACTGAAGTAATTTTGATTCAAAACTTTGTGAAACGTTTTTGGCTTTTTATTCTTTAATTTTTCATTGGTGTTTTGTTTCTGGCCAGAATTTTACTCAAATTTTGCCAAATGTTTTATGCCAATTTGCTAGAGTTGCTTAAGTGAATGAGGAATATCGAATACCATTATGGGCAACAATATATAAGTTTGATTTGATTGTAGACTTAAAATACAATTATATCTGTAAATTAATAAGTAATTCAAAATGATACCACTTTATGGTACATACCTTGCATAATTATTGATTACCTTCTGTGTCAAATAGCTCAATGAAATATATAGCAATCCATCTGCCGAGAAATGACACAATACCTTTTCCAGTCATCATTAATACTCTTTTGTAATCCTCTGATAATATTTAATCCAATTATGTTTATCAGTACAAAATACAGTCAAATTTTTTTACTTTTTTTGTACACAAATTATTGATAACAACCAATGTATGTAATTAGTATTAACTCTTTCAACTCATGGTCCGTGGGACCAACCTCATAACCATTTTGTATTTGTTATAGTTTTCATGCTATAACTTTTAACTTATTAAGCAAATGTTATTGAAATTTGGCAGTTTATCAGTAAACATTACAATGCTTTCATACGTAAAATATCAAATATTTTTATTAAGTCTTAAGGTTTGTAAAGCAATGTTTCTCTCATGCTTTTTTTTTTCTTTTCACATCTTGCCTATCTATCATGCAAAGTAATTTTCACCTTAACATTAAAAATACTTTTATGCATCAGAAAATTTCAAAATTTCATGTGCAAAATCTTTATAATGTCCAAATAGTTATCAAATTTTTCTTAAGATATTCCCCGGCCCAGTTTCCATCTCACCCTCACTACCATTCTCTGTTATCTCTCATCCATCTACCTCTTTCAGTTGACTCACTGTATACGGTCTGACGCATCTTAGCCACTCTACACCATCTGATATGTACAATTACAGGTTGGATGTGCATCTTTTCCACCCAATTTAGTGACACTTATCTTGACTGAGGGCAAAGAGTATACCAGGTACAGATGGGGTATGGTCTCCCACGAGTGTGACCCTATACATTATTGTGTCACATTACATGGGTGGTTCTCTTCAGGTAACTTCCGAAGAGTGCTCATCTAGGTAACTTTTGCACTGGTCCTCCCACCATTTCATTGTGGGATACTAGCTATTATGTGAGTGGAAGTTAGGTACGGTATCAGAAGTTAACATTTTCTTACACTTAAAATGTATTTCCGATAGATACTTCCACTCACACTTCCCACCAATTCTCCCCACTTCCGGGGCATCTTTTTTGCCTAAGCTTGAAGTTATGGTTGTGCTAGGAGGGTGTATCACACTCCTATTGGTGGAGAGTTGTTGCATGCTCACTTGCAAACTACAGCACATCTATATCATGTGAGGGTAGGTGGGAGTATCATGGTTATTGGCAAGTAAAAATTGTGTAAATAGAGTGCAGCACAAGTCAAGAAAAGCTATTATATTAGAGGTAAGCATGTATCAGAAATACACTTTCAGTGTATGAAAATGTTAACTTTTATATCTTTATTGAGATAAAACATCATTCATGGTACACTTATTGGTTATTGTGTTAAACACACATAATTTGTATGACATAACTGGTCAATTAAATTGATTATTGGATTGTATTATTATTATTCTTTCAATTTCTAGGGATCTTCCAGCCAATAAAAGGAGAAAAAGGACAGGATCTGATTCCTGCTGCAAGCAAGAAAATCTCAACAATCCAATTAGTCCCTACCCCTTTTTGGGACCTGGTCCTGGTCCAAAACAGTCTGAAGAAACTGAATCTTTGCCTGCCAAACCAAAGGATCCTTATGAGTTTAATGTTGAGTTTGAAGAATACAAAGTGAATCCTGCTTCAAGTGGATCAACATTCAGAGTTAAAATGGATATTGTATGTAAGGTTAGTGGTTGCAGTAATTTAATTTTGTAGAAATATTAATGAGTTTTCTAATGTAAGTTTGTCATTAATAGTCTTAGTGTTGAAGGGTTTTTAATTTTGTAAACTTGGTTATTTTTATCATATTCATAATAATATTTTAAAAAGTTAAGTTCTAATAGAACCTCAATATTTTGCATGGCGGTACAAAAAATTGTAAAATCATTGTTGTTTTGAGGGAAATGTAACTGACAGTAACCTCTTTGTTGGTCCCCTGGTGGGACAGTTGTAAGTCTTAGAATTTACAATGCTAGAATCAGGGGTTCAATTCCCCTTGGTGGACACAGCTGATAGCCCGATGAGGCTTTGTTATAAGAAAACACGCACACCTGCATGTTGTATGAAAGATTAACAGTTTTAGGTTTTGACTGCTGTAATATCATGGTTTTTGTGTTGGGTGAAACAGAACTGACAGTAACCTGCATGTTGTATGAAAGATTAACAGTTTTAGGTTTTGACTGCTGTAATATCATAGTTTTTGTGTTGGGTGAAACAGAAATGACAGTAACCTGCATGTTGTATGAAAAGTTAATAGTTTTAGATTTTGACTATGTTGTAATATCCTGGTTCTTTTCATTGGGTAAAACAGAACTGATGGTAACCCAATTCTTGTAGGAAAGATTAATACTATTGGGCATTCTGCAGGCAGTATTTGTACATATGTAGCTGCAGTATCATAAATCACTTATGCCATGTGTTATCCAAATAAAATTTTTGTATGTGATAGTTTATTTAATATTTTAGTATTCTGTGAGTAATGTTTAGATACACTATAAGGCACTCTTCTGGTTATATTATGTGAAACTGAGAATTGAAAGTAACTTCTGTATAGGTCGATATAAACTAACGGAGCTTTAATTGAATATTCAGTTTTTATAAATAAAAGGTTTTGAATTGTTAAAGTTTTTATTATATGCTAATACATCTGTTAATGAATCCTCTGGGAACGAAGCTCCTTTATAATGAATTCAGCCATGGAGGGCCCCTTCGCCTCCCTAATTTTGCAAAAAAAAAAAATCGAAAAAAAAAAAGAAATCTTCAGAAATCATAGGAAGTGATTTAAAAGAGTAAAATTTTAAATGCTACACATGCCTTGTAAATGCAACCAAGTGGGTTTTGTTTACATTATCAGCAACCAATCAGTGAAGAGCTTTACGAGTCTGCCCAATCAGCAGCATGCTTTGCAAGTCTTCCCTCTCCTGCCTGCCATTTGCTTGAGCTTCTCTTATTGGTAATGTTACCATGTTTTTTTTTGCTGTGATAAATTGATTTTATTACTCCCATTATGACATCCAAATGACCATCTAGTGTAGTGCTAGTAGATTTACTGGGCAAAAAGTGCAGAGTAAATCCATCTCTTTGGAAATTAAAATGCAAATACGAGTGGTGGTAACATAATGCTAGCTCCGAGAGAAGTCGGTGGTAAGTGTTATTTTATTATCTTGTTTAATGTATTTTTAATATGTATTTCTTTTGTATACATATTGTTTTCAGTCACATTTTAACCTTATTTTTGTTTGTATTTAATGATGTTTATTTATTGCACCCCCTTCTCTGAAGTCCTGGAAATTATCCCTATATCTCCAATGTTATATTTACCTCTGGTAACAAAGTGATGTCATGGAACAAAACTATTTTGTTGCCAGAAGAATTACTGTATTGGATTTTGTTTTGAATGTATTTTCATTGACTCATTTAACCCTTAAATTATTGCCTTGTTTTTATACTGTTCACTGTTAATATGGAGGAGAATTTTCTGCCAGTTATTGAATTTTGAAATTTTTAATGTTTCTGAATGTTTTCATGAATTCAGCAACAATTCACTCAGGAACTTAACACACTAAACTTGAGTTTTTGCAAATAAGCACCATCATATTTTAGTTTCACACAACAGGGATGTATTCTCTGTGTTTAGATATTTTGCATATTACTACAGCATTTGTTTTTTGACCAATCAAAATCTCATTAATACATTTTCACAAGTTTATGAAATGTGTTTACAAAGTGGATTTTTCCCGAAAACAGTCATTTAGAATTTATATGGCAGTTTAATCTAGAGACAGGATTAAAGTAAAAAGTGGCAAAGGTTATTGAGCAACATGATGAAACAAAGGAAAGATAAGCTGATAGTTTGGTAAAAAAACAAATTGAAATGGTACTGGTTGGAGAAGGAACTAAAAATTACATTTGTTGTTGGGTGAAGTCAAAAGCTGGGAGAATTTAAAAGGTTGATTTATCAGGAAAAGCTTTATGTGTAATATTCAAGAAGTTTATAAACTATATTTCACAGGGTTGCCCTATAAAATTTAGACACATGGAACTAATAAAAAACACAGAGCTGTTCAAATGATTAACCACATTTGGCTAATTTACTGTAAATTTAAAGGCATCATATCTTTTAAATGTACGAAACAAGACAGGAGCATGCTCCTGGGTCTCTCTACCAGTGCCTAGCATTGGATTCAAAATGCTTTTAATTTTTTTTCTTTTTTGTCTCTTCTTATCCCTGAACTGGTGAGGTCTACATTTTGTATGACACTGAATAATTACATAAGTATTTTTTTTTATGTAAAATACATAGGGGATCAAGCAGTAATTAGTGGGACTAATGTAAAATACCTGCACACTCTTCAATCGTGTAAAGGCCCTCCTAATGATTTATAGAGGCCCCAATGTACTGATCCAGCTCCTCCATTATCTCCAATTACATCTATAGCTTCCCAAAAAAGGGAGAGGAGGTCCTTACCCCAAAACAAACCTCATTAGGACACCTACCACTGGTAATTTAAGATTATGTCACTTCATAGGTAAAAAGTAATATATAATCACATAAGTACTTTTTTTTTCCATGTAACTTATAGCTTAATCTGTGTTCTGATGAAAACCTAAATATACTTCCAGGAAGAAGAAAAGCCAAAAGAACAAGTAGTACCAGCCCCAACATCAGAAGCCACAGTCTTAGATCAGCCTAAAAGTAATTCAGTAAGTGAACTTTCATCGGTGACATCCCCACTTACACCACGCACTCAAGGTTCCAGCTTTACAAAAGTGGAGCACCTCCAACTCACTGGACGAGACTTGGAGAACATATTTGATAGCTGTTCATCTGATGACAGCAATGGTGATTTGGTAGGTAATTTAGATTCTTCAATAACAAATCTGTATGATATCATATTATTGGACTGAGTTTTTTTTGCTAACGAATTATTTTTGTTTCATAACATTAAAAATTGATCAATGAGTAACTAATAATGTTCTTTAAGGTCCTACTTGTGAATAAAAAGGTTAAAGCGTTTAGTAAGTCAAGTTAAAAACTAGTCTAGTATCCATCATGTCAAATATTTTACATATTGCCCAAATTTTTGCTTTTGGATGTCTACTTGGACCTCTTCTGAAATGTTTTAAAAGCAAAAGACAGTAGAGTAAAGATAAAAATTTACTTGGCGGTACTTGGTAATCTTTTTATTGTCAATATAACTTTGAAATTTCAGTGTTCATTATACCACTTAACCTGATAGTTTATTCTGTTGTTAAAGCCTATCAAATACTTTATAAATTTGAATGGTTATAAAAAATATATTTTATGAAAATGTAACAATGAGTTCAGAAAAAAGAATGTCAGAAGATTTTCTTTTCACTTTCATAAAAGTTTGAAATATTTTGACTAGTTTCTTTGAGAAAATATTATCATGATGATCTGAAATGGTAAAGCCAGTATGTTAATTTCTTTTCATATCCAGCTGACTCCTGGAGCACCTAAAATGATTAATAGTGACGACCAACAGTCTGGAAAGTCCAGTAAGAACAATACATATAATACAGGTGGAATTCTTGGTTAGTATAGAAACCCCTTATTTGTGTTTGATTGATTATAAATATTAGTGTTTCTAAAATACACTACTCAGAAACTAAGAAATATATCATTATGTAAATCTGTTGGTAAGGATGAAATTTTGTAATAGAAAAGATACTTACTTATGTTGGAGTTGACAAAGTTACCTTTGGTGTAAATGATAAATCTATCAATTTATATTGAAATCATGAACATTTTTTCAAGATTATAAATATATTATAAAAGATAGTTATCGTACAATTTAAGAAGTATTATATTAGGCCAAAGACAATTTAATTTCATTTTAAAATCCATCTAAAAGTCCAAAGTAGCTAGGGCCAAACGTGGCCTAGTGGTTAGTATAATGATCTATGGATCTGCAGGTCCATTGTTCAAGTCTTGTTACTGCCAAAAACTATAATTGCTCTCAACACTTTAGGATTTTGGGTGTGTTATAAGGGTAATGGTCAAGTCCCAGTATTTGATCAGACAAGAGTAACCCAAGAGTTAGCTGTGAGTGCTATCTAGAGCTGGGTGATTAACTTGATAAATCCATTATCTATGAGCATTGATAATGTTGATAAATGCCAGTAAAAGTATTAATTAATCAAAATTATAATTAAATTGATAATGTCTTGATAGTAATCATTTACTCGAAATTAGTGTTTCCAGTTATTACTGTTTTTCATCATTCCAACTATCCAAGGAGTCAAAACATTGCCATTATGATTTCTCATTTTTACTTTGATTAATTCAAGTTTGTTCAGCTTTGGGCCTGCATGACGCGGCAATTATGGTGGTTGCCTTGTGGTTTGAGGATCTCGGGTTCAATTCCTGTTGCCACCAACATGCTTTCTTCTGTTGCTGTGGGGGAGGGGGTGTTATATTTGTTGTTGTTTTTTTAGTTATGGCAAAGCTACTATTAAAGGCTCTCTGCCACTTTCCCTAATTTTGAACTGCCAACCAGAGGGAAAGCAACTGGCAAGCAACATCCATTGCCAATTCTTGGGCTACTTATTACCAACTAATAGGATTGACCATCGCATTATAATGCCCAAGAGTTTGACAATGAGTGCTGTTGGCCAGTTGTCTTCTCCCTGATTGGCAGTTCAAAATTAGAGATGGTGACTGATAGCTTAGTAGCTTTGTCATAACTTAAATAAGTTTGTTCAGCTTTAGATATATACCAACTGAACTGAACTCGTGTATGACACAATAACTAGTGCTACTTCAATTAGTATGACTGTATGGTATTGTATGTACATAACTCACAAATGTGAAGGTGTGGCATAGTGGTCGTTTATTGTATAAATAGTCACAGTGATGCCTATTTTTTGTGTTTACCTTGGCTGATCTAAACAGTAATGAAGCTTTAACTTAATATATTGCTCACTTATTACAACCTACAAATATAACTAGTATTACTAAGAGTGAGATTGCTTTAATAAAAAACAACTATGACAAGTTAATACTCTTTATTCGCTGAGAAAAAATTTTGATTCCAAAACATACCTCTACTGACATGTAGCTATTACACAACCTCCAGGGTTTCATCTTTGCCCATCTAAGCATTGATCTGATTTTTTCTCACTTGCTCCAGTCTTTTATACCCCACTCTATTTCGCTTGACGATATTTATTTGTCTATGATACTCTCCACCTATACCAATGTGCTCTCTACTGTATATAAGCACCTCATTCAGATAATTTTATCACTTTTTCCAAACAAAGCATTTAGACACGGGTTTTCTAAAGAAGTGCTGTGATAGTTACCTTCCTTGATTGCAATTTTTCCGCCGCTTAGTTGATTTCTGTACAATTATATTTTGATGAATCTCAAAACAAAACAAAAAAAGAGTATTTTTCTTTTTCGATTGACCAGCGGTATGAATTCTCAGATTATTATTTCTGGCATGGAAGTAAATCATGTCTTTCCTATCCCACATCTAATATCTAGCATAGCACCACAATTGGGGGGAGGGGGGGGCACTCTCAGTTGAGATTGTAAATAACCTTATTCCTCCATGGTGCTCCTTCAGGGAGCTCTGAGGCTGCAATTGAGGGTGATCCTCGACATTCTGGAGAGAATTTAGATTTGCTTTTTCCTGCACCTTTTTTGTCTGTTGGCTTTTCAGTCCCCCTTTGGGACAGTGGTGAGCTTGCCAGCTTGCAACACTGGAATCAGGGATTCAATTCCTTGTACTGGATGCAGCAGATAGACCAACATTGCTTTGCTCTCACAAAATAAACATACCTAATTAAATGTTTTTTCAATCAATATTAATTAACTCAGTTTTTAAATGAATGTCTAAGGACTTACAACTCTAACCTTTTGTTTTCCTTATACTACAATTGTTGGAAGCATCTCAGGTTCACCACCTTTGTTGATGACGAGTTGGAACCATTGTTAACATGTACTTTGGTTTGATTGTCAGCTTCTACACTCATCCCTGTTGTCATTGGCATCTCAAATTTCATTGGCTTCTATTCGAGAGTCCCAACCCCCGACATCAGCCCCTCGCTACATTGGTACCCAGAATATATTCTGTCTTTATCCACGGGTTCTGCTATTCAGTTGGATCACCACCAGTGGCATTGGTGCTTATTGTCTGCTTTCATGGTCTATGAGGTATAGACTCTCAGTATTTTTGGACATGGGGTACCCTTACCCATAGATCCAAGAGCATACAGGTCCTTGAGTCAGATCTTCACCACTGTTATCCACCCATCCTATAGGATTTCTATCTTCTAGAGACCCTCATTAATTGGAATTTAATTCTAGGGCTAGCGCTATCAGTGTTTGGCTGGTCTGGGGGTAGTGAGAGAGTTGTGCTAGTTCTTCCAGGGTTTTATTCCCATTGGTTCTTGGGCCTAGAAAGACAGGAGATTGGTGTCCCATCATCATTCTTTTTCATCTGTATCCAGGCCTCAATTCTCCAAGTTTCATAGGTTACTCATTCCTCAAACTGTGTTGACATTTTTTACTGGGATTGTGGATGCCCAAGTTTGTACTTGGTGCCTAAGTGCACATTGCCATAGTGGTGGCATCCCACCACTATCAGCATTTTTTGCACACAAGGGCTAGATACTGCAGTTCAAGGTTTTTACCTTTGGACTAGCATAGGCTTCTACATGGGTTCTGCCGATTCATATGAATTTTTTTCTTGGCACATCCATTCCACAGCTCTGTGCACACACACACCATTACATAAGTGAATGGTTACTGCTGGCACCATCTCCTCTATTGTCAGAACAGCACATCTGGATTCTACTTTCAGAACCCACCAAGGCAGGCTTCATTCTCAGAGCTGAGACATCTATTCTTGCTTCAATTCAATATGTCATCAGTCTGGATATTTTTTTCATCTTGTCTCTCAGTCGGGCTTAGCTGACTCACATCTGGCTTCGCACTATGGAACAGGAAACCGACTCTTACTCATCTTTTCTCCCACTACACAGTTGGTTCTTTCTTTTCTAGGAATCTGAGCTCAATTGAATCCCTAATGCCTTTGGGACATGTGATCCTTTACATGGTCTTTATGCAAATGAGGAATCATAGACTCACTGGATTCCCCAGTTTCCTTAGTCTGGATCATTCTTCTCTCTTGGGGGTTGTTAAGTCCGGATGCTACTAAGCTATGGGTTCCTATACTGACCCCTCATCCAAAGTTCCATCTCTTCATAAATGTCTCGCTTCATAGCTAGGCTACATGTACCAACAGTCAGGAATTACAGGGATGACGAGGCTTCCCTACATATTGTTTTAGTCCTTCTTGCTCTTCCAAAGGCAATGCTTCATGGTCTGGGCTTATTATGGGGAAAATTGTCAGGCTTCACACTGACAGGAACTTTCAGGCATCTTCAGGTGGAGGATAAGGTTTGTCTGGTTCAGTGTTGCTTACTTTCTTATCGTAATTGTGATTGCTCAGAATGCATCTCTCTATGGATAAGATTAGGATCCACACATAAATATATATATATATATATATATTTATGTAATGTTGTGGTCCAATTACCCTAACCACCAACATGAGATATTGGGACGAGGACCCTTTTATTCCAACTCCGGGTAGTTCAACCTCAGCTATTTGGTTGGGGCTGGCTTACAGTGATAATCACTCATGTACAATTCCATCCTTGATACAGGAACTAAGTTCAGGGTGAAGAGCATACCTGTTCTGGATGTAGTGTGGCTCCCCCACTCAGGTACCAATGTTATCTTGGTATACCCTTGATCTATGAAGATGCTTTATGTATGGATAATGCCTTCACTGGACCCTCCACCTTCTCAACGTGGGATTCTAGCTGTAAGTGTCAGCGGAGTAAATATGTTTTGTAAGTTAACATCTTCCTTAATTGAAAATGTATTTCCAATAATTCTTTCTTCCTCTGACACTCTCCCACCCTTCCTCCCCACTAAGAGCTGGTGCTAGAGACTGGGATTGTGTCAGTCTCAAAAAAGTGATAAAATTATCTCAATGAGGTAAATACAGTACCAGGATAGAGGGTGTATTGATGTAGGTAGAGAGTATCACAAGACAAATATCTCCAAGGGCAGTTGAGTGGGGTATAAAGGCCTGAAGCAAGTGAGAAAAAAAATCAGACCAATGCTTAGATGGACAAAGATGAATCCCTGGAGGTTGAGTAATAGCTATAAGTGTCAGTGGGGGGTAAGTATTATTGGAAATACATTTTCAATTTCAGAAAATGGCTACTTTCTGAATAATCAGCTCATTTAATTTTGTTTGTCAGAAAGTACTAAACGTAAACTAATTACATTCTGTCAGTATGTAATATCGTTAAGTCATTAATCTTCTTATTCCTGTTATGATCTAATGATGTTAACTTGTATACAGGAATAAGACTTTTGTTTAATTACAACTAGCTCTAGCTAGATAGGAAGCACTGAAAAATATGTCTGTTGTCACATGCTTCTTAAATACTGTCTACCTAGTACAGTAAGCTTTAAATTGTTTGATGTATTTATTCCTCAGCACACAATGTTTCAACAGTTTCTTACAGCCTGTACTGTACAACTTAAATACATTAGTTTATTGTGTTCCCTCTAAACTTCCCTCTGTATTAACTTCTTGCTTAAAAGCATGTTTTTATCCATATAAAGTGGTTAATTATTTTTAAAATTTTTCATGCAGATGATGGGATGAGAAAGAGTTTCTGAAACATTGGTAATTGAAGATTTTTTGGTATTATCATGAATTTAGTATTTCATATAAAACATCGATTTCCACCTTATGAATCATTTTAATCTTTGCAAAGAGGTCATCTAGTATCATCAAACGTTTTCTGCCAAATAGTAAACGTTTTATATCTTTGTTTTTTTAGGATCGGAGTGAATTTGTTTTCACTGAATTATAAATTATCTATCACACAATGTGACAAAAATCATTGCTAGCAGCATTTCCGTTAACTGGTAAATACCCATCAGCAACGGTTTCAAAAGGTAGTTAAGCGGCAGAGACCGAAGCCGTCGGTGACTTTGACTGACAGCAAAAGTTCTGTGACGGCAGCTAGAAACATTGACTGTCACTAACAAGAGCAAGTGAGTGTGCCTCTAGACTACACCCTTAACCCTATTACGACCAGTGAGAAGCTTTCTGCTGTCGAGTGCATACCAAATTTCAAAATTTCAGTAAAAAATCTAATATTAACTATTTTAACCATTTTTTTTATTCAAGATTATGAAAGAATTAATATTTTGTAAATTTGCAAAATTTATTTAGTGTAATTTGCCAAAAAAGTAAACAAATATTTAAAGTTTGATCTCTGCGCAGCTACAAACAATGCCCTTATAAATCTTTTTTAGATTTTTTCTACCTGTCCTAAGGTATTGGTTTATATTTACTCAGAAACTGTCATTCCTTAGGAATGGACTTATTCATTTTTTTTGTTTCTCATGTGATTTTCTTTTTCTGTCGGTGATTTTATTTCAAAACCGTGTGTAGAGAGGCTTTATGATGTCACACCAAGTGGGTTGGACATTAATTAATAAATCTTAGTCTCAGAACAAGATAGAACCAAGGTTAAAGCTAAAAATGATTGAATTGAAAAAATTCTTGGTTATATTTGTCAGTTTAAAGTAAATAAGATGGGTTAAGCAGTAACATTTGGTTTCTGAGATAGTGACTAGCAGAAGTTCTTATAGTGGAGTACATAGGATTCATATAAGAAATTTAAAAAACTTAGGAACAAGCCATAAACCTTGGAATATTTTATAGCTTCTTTTGATGCTATAAAGAGTTCATGATAATTTTTTTGTCTTATGTAATGTCTGTTAAAAAGCCACAGGAATACTGTTATATGAGAAGACATAAGTAAGGATATTTAGGGTTGTGAGTACAGTAAGCTAAGAGTTCTGCGACAGTAAATTATTCAGATGATACAAAACCTTTTTTATTTTTGTTTATTAATAAAACTATTGTAACTCAAACAATACATACAGGTATAAGAACTCTTTAGATATTAGAAACAAATGATCGTTATTAGAGTGGAATTGTGCTTGACCAAAAGTATAATTGGAAAAATATCACATATGTCAGATTAGGCCTAGGATATGAGTGCAGGTTATGTTTATACCAATCAATGCTTTTACTTGTCATTGTTGTTTTATGCTATATTTATGGCTACATAAATGCTTTGGTAGGTACAAATAAATAACTGATGAAAATAAAGTAAGTTCGAATTGACTGGACATATAAAATGGAACTTTTTGATCACTAATATTAAAAAAAAAGTTTTATTCATTTCTTTTATATTCTGTAGTAGTTGCCTTCATTTTATGTAAGAACTTGTATGAACAAATGGAAAATGGATATGCTGTTACTAGAACAACACAGACATAACAGTTATAATTTTATTGAAGAAATAGCTCTATTGGATACATGTACAAGATTTTAGGCACACAATTAAAAACTTTTATGATGACTGGAAGTATTTTTTAAAAGCAGCATTTCACAACACAATTTCTGAAAATTTACAACCTAAAATGTTATACAAATACCAAACCAGATTATTTAGTTTTAATCAAGCACAAATGTCATCTACAAAGTGTGTATCAAATTTTGTGTGATTAGGTTTAACATTTTAAATGTAAAAACAAAGCAAATGGGGGTGACAGTGTTACTCTGCTGGTCTGGAAAGTGTTGAAGGCACATGCAATTGAATGTGTGTGGTTGACTGAGTGTTTCCTGACTATTGGCACATGTTCTCCTCCTTTCATTCCAACAAAACTTTTAGCTTATTGGTTGAAATGCCTTGCTAAACATTAACCAGCAGCTTTTCTCAAGAATGCAGAAACAAGTGAAAAAGAAATTATAGGTGGGGAGCTGTCCGAGGAGTCTGAGAAGCTGTGGCAGACAGGTGACTCTGAAAGGGATTGAACTACAAGTAACAAAGCATTCAACTAGTAAGAAAATAAAATGATTCTACAACAATCAATGTGAAAAATACTGTGTGGCTATGTATACTGTGTTGATGACACAGACAAAATGTTTCACTGGTTTTGTGAAAAAAGCATCAAGGGAAAATGGATTTACCTAAGGCTCGGAAAAAATGCAGCTATATTCCCTGACGGCAAACATCAAGTGCAGTAATCACATTTTTGCTACATTTTCATGATGAAAAATATTTTGATTTGAATATGATGTTAAAAAAATAATAATATTTGGACAACTTTTTAAAAGAAAGTGTTAAAGGCAACTTTCATTTGTTGTTTAATTAAAAAAAGTTAGGTTGCTAAAAGGAATGTTTTTTCTACATAACCGTATTTTTTCCTCCATAACTATATGTATGTATTATCATTTTAATTTAAGAGTGGTGATGTGTCAGATGAATGGCCATGAAATTTTATGTTGCCACCTGTAAAACTTTTAGTATTGTGAGGGGGCAGCATTTTTCATAGCAGAAACACCAACTAGCTTTATCACATGAAATCTAAGAACATTTAATTTCATTAAAAAAAAATTTTTATTTGGTTTTATTACTCTTGTGAAAATAAGTTGGGAGAAACCCATGGAAAGGTATTGAGGTTTTGTACTATGTTGTATGTATGATACATTTCCTTGTACAACAATTTAGGGTTTAAAATGTAACTTAAACCTAAATAATTGTGCCTGAAAATGTCTACCATATTAAATTAAGGGTAGTTTGAAAATTCTTTTAAAAAACAAAACTAAGCTGAAAATGGGAATATTAATCTCATGTGAGAATAATCAGTTACTTGAATGTAATCTATTAATGAACCTAATGATTAATTGATTAGGAAACTCCACTAATCACCCAGCTCTAGTACTGTTGACTAGTTGCCTTTTGGTCTCTAAGGTATGACCAGCACAGATAGCCCTTAAGTAGCCTAGTTTGAATATCCCAAAACCAACAAACCAAAGTAATTAATTTTTGCTAATTATTTATTACATCTATTTTATTTTGTTGTGTGTTCACAATATAAGGTTTGAATCAATAACCGAATGTTCTAGTAAGATGTTAGTTAAATTTTATAGACAGTTCAAGTTTAAATTTGTTATATCATGTTGAAATGAGAGACCTATCTATTTTAGGGGCAGCAGAATTAGCAACTATGTTTCCCACTCCTCCATCCCTAGAACATTTAGCTACTCCCTCTCCTTCTGGACCCATGGGAGGTGGTGACATCACTACAATGGATGGTACAGATTCTTTGTTTCTTAGAGATCGGACAGATATTTATCCAAATTATGGAAGCCCTGGCTTTGAACCTGTTAGAGTAAGTAGTCTTACATTTGTACAGTTTGAAATATATAGTGACCTTATTACTTAGCTTAAGTGTTTTGCCAATGTATTTTAAGATATATAATTAGTTTGGTCATGCTTTGCTGTTATCTATGTATCACTGACCTTAAATTACTTCACAGAAGAATTCCTATCTGCAATAACTACTTCATTTATTTAACTGGAAACTGGCACATCATTTTTTGTGTTACAGTTAAAAGTTTTCATCTTGTTTTTCTTATTTGCTGATAAGTTTTATTGTTAGAAATGTATTTTTATATGAATAAAGATAAGTCTAGGAAAGTATAAATTTTATAATTAAAGTATTTGAGAAAAAATTTAATTTAATCAGTCATTTAGCTAAAATAAATATGCTTTGTTATGTAGGTACAGATATCAGGGAATTAAATCACGTCTGAAAAATGCCTAATCATTTTGTCTTTTTTTTTTTAAGATTATTGACACTTACTAGAGAGTAGATTTGAGATTCCAAATTGTTTGTAAAAGTTTTGATAACCAAAATTTTTTCTTTATTTGGCTAACCATTTATTATAAGTTACATAATTTTCCTTTAAAGGTTACCTTAACCTCCACATTGTGAAATTGATAGTATTTTGTTTTGATTGTAAAATAGTGCACAAAGCAGTAAAAGGATGATTGAAATTTATAACATTTTAGTCATGATAAGCCTAACCATTGTTATAAAATAATATTGGAACTTCTCCCTATTTAACATTTATATTTGTAAATCATGCATCTGATTATTCAAAGTGATCTCAAATGTATATGATAGGTCATTCAGCCTATGCTTCTAAAGAAAAATTTGACAGAAGTGGCTGTTGAAACCACGTTATTGGTTGAGATAGATAGATAGAAACAATTTCTGACAACATGGTAGTAAAAACAAAAATCACGTATTTTCCTTTAGGATTGGTCGTACGTGTACAAACGTCCTACTCAGTACAGGTTTGTGAGCTCATCACGTTATGCTCCTTTAAACAACCTTCCCAGCTCAGTACAACCAATTGTCACCTTTTCATCAGACTGCATCTACAAGCCTGGATGGCCTCATCCTCCATCATTTTCATCATTGGTAACATCCTCACCTGTAGACCGGCCATCATCAAGGTAATATTTTAAGATATGTAGACTTACTTGCACTAATAAAACTGAGCTTTGAGGATGAGATTGCCAGACATTTAAGGTGTTTCCAGGTTTTAGCAACTGCTTGTAGTCAGTAAATCTGATATTTTTTTTATATTTATAAATGTTGAACGTTGGGATACCATAGAATTGTTAGAGATAAGACTAAGTGACTTACATTAGAAGTTTAATTTATTTATACTACGAATTTGTGAAAAAAATATGTTGGTACCATTGTACATTCATACCAGCAGAATTCATAAAGCATTAAATCCATGACCTTAATACTTGGTATCATACCAGTAATGCATAATTATGTAATTTTTATAAAAAATATTTGTAAATAAAACATTTGTCTTAAAACATTAAATGTGAAAGTTAAGGACATTCTTTAAAACATTGGGCTATAACTTTTGTGAGTGTTATAACATTAGAATGAAGTAGAAGCTTGCAGATCCCAATTATTTATATTTTTATTAATGACATTTAATACAACGTCCAATATAGTAGTGTTCGTGAACATTTTCTAGTGGAACGGTGAACTGACTTTTAACAAGAATAATTTGTGTATTCTAATATCTTGGTGTGGCAAAATAGATGCTAACTGTGATGCTATAGCAGCTACATATATTTGGTTTATGGCAGCTTCATGAAAGTTTGGTTGTACAATGTCACCATGGGTAACTGTGTGGCTGAAGATTGTCGTCACAACCCTTTATGAGGAAGGATATTTATATAGAACGATTGTTAAATGGTGTATATCTTTCATTGTTCTGTATGGAAAAAACTTGCATTATAAAGTATTTAGAATAACAATGAGCTATGAAACCACCTCCACAAGCCAATGGGAAACAATGCTCTTATTTACAAAGAGTTGACTATTGTTACTTGAAAAAAATCTCTGCCCCAAATAACAATTGTGATAAAACTGGGAATATCTCCACATTTACTCTCTTTAATCTCTTCTTTATTGGTAGTAGTACTGTACAGATGTGCTTGTTTTTGCTTGCAAATTTGTCATTGGTTTCTTTTATACTACAGATTTAATTTCTCTTTACTATGTTTTTTTATTTCTTTACTTATGGGGGCCTTTTTGCTAGTTTATTGTGGATCCCACTCTGTGGTGAGTGGGGCCTGACCAGGTATACTTATTTTTTGCATTGAAAATCTGCACTGTCCATCCTGTGATCATGCTTGATATCATTTACGTTGTAGTTCTTTTACTGAGGACCTGATGTATAATTCAAGATGCTGCTATGCGTCTTCATTCAATTGTAATCTATACTGAAACAATTACGTCACAGGTTTCTGTTACATACACTGTAGAGATGGGGTGTTCCGTAGGACCACTAGTAGTTCTCTCTGGTGGTCTTTTGCTTCATAAATATGTTTGTCCCAGACTGTACACTCATGAACACACACGAGTAAAGCAAACAGGAATTGTTGCCCATCTCTGATGCTTTGTGGCATTGAGACTCTTCCTTCTGCAGACCTGACATACAATTCCAGATTTCACTGGGTGTTGGTTGATCAACTCCTCCGGTAGTATGGTCCTCTGGACTCTTCATTGTATTTTTCCCTCTTTTCTTCTAGTGGAGTATGGGAGTCTTTGCCATTTATCAGTTTCTAGCTGCTAGGGTGGTGGACCATGAAGGCCTGTCCTCCTGAGTAATGCATCATACCATTTAGTTGATAGTAGGGCAGTGGCATTCTGTTGGTGTCAATGGCATATAGCACTTCCTACCGTGGACCTGATGTACAATTCCAGATACTGCCAGGTTTTGGTTGTAGCTCTACACCATATTAACGGCTTTTTCCCACTGTGGCATTCCTCCTTCCTACCATCATCTGGATGTACATTCCCATTAGGTCTGGTGTTAGTTGGAGATGGCCTGGTCACGATTAGAATCATATGTGTCGATGGCATGACACCCTTCTTACCATGGACCTGATGTACAATTCCAGGTTCTGTCAGGTGTTGGATGAGGTTGAACTACCACTACGGTCTGTTGTGCCTTAGCCACTCAACACCCAGGGGTCTTGTTACTTGGAAATACATATTATTGGATTCCTTCATGTTTTTCTGCCATTTCTGTTAGCGACACAGACATCAAAGAGTATACCTGGATCTAACGTGGTGAGGTCTCCCACTCATGTGTGATATTTTCTTTTTTTGGTTTCACACCTCATGATCTCTCTTTGGGTGCTTATTAAAGGAGGATTTTTTTCCTCGTCCCTCCACCAGTTCAGTGTGGGAATTTAGCTATTTTGTGAGAAGAGGTAAGATATCATATCGGAAATTAACATTTTCCTAAGATGAAAATGAATTTCCGATAGATACTTGTCTCTTCTCACATTTCTCACCCAGCCTTCCTACTTCTGGTGATATGTGGTGTAGATCTGGATACTAAGGTAGCAATGAGACTAGCTATGTTAGGATCTTTTATTCTCAACATTTCGACTGCAAGTATTCTTCAGTAATCTCCTGAAGAAGACTTGTAGTCGAAACGTGGAGAATAAAAAGATCCTGACATAGCTAATCTCATTGCTGCCTTAGTATCCATTTGTCAACATTAATGATACTTATTTGGTGTAGATCTTCTGACCAATCTTGAAGTGATTAACAAGTGCAAATGTGGAGGTGGCACTGGTTAAGATAGGGTTGTGTCACACTCCTATTGGTGGAGAGCTGCTGGATAATCATTTACATATGGATATGCAGAAGTGGGAGGGGTAAGGCTAGTGGCAAGCATTGAACATTTGCACTGAGAGAGGGCAGTACTAATTGAGAAAAGCTATTATGTGGAGGTATCTATCGGAAATACATTTTCAGTTTAGGAAAATGTTTACTTCTGGTGTTTCATTGTTTTGCTTAAGTACAAACTTGGAAGCTGATGTCCATATACATTGAAGGATCTGTGAAAAGTTTACCAAGATGTTGAGTCTAATGTCATCATCCTTCATGGTGTGGGAGGTAAAATGTGAAAACATGGCCATCAAATTGAAAAAATACAAAGATGGTACCTCATTCTTATAAAGTGCAATTAACCCTTGTCATATGTAGTAGCAGAAAACTTAATTTTTTTAAGGAGTTTAGTCTGATGCAAGAAAACCAACTTTTCCCCATCAGTAAAATTGGATCAGTCTAGTAGTGTTATGCTGTAGTTTACTTCAGTGAAATGGGATTAGACTAGTAGTTTTATGTTGTGGTTTACTTCAGTGAAATTGGATCAGATTAGTAATTTTAGGCTTGTTAGAACAAGTTTTGTTTTCTGATAAAATATTTTCATGTTTGAGGTTGCACCTATAAATTATTTGTATTTCATGTAATCTTTCTTTCTATTTATCTTTCTGCATTTTAATTTTTTTTTTCATTGAAAACAGTGCTAATGAAAGAAATTAATATAGTATCTGTGTGATACTTAAAATTACTGAAATAGATGTTATCAGAAAAGGTTTCTTCTGTTTTTAGAATTGAACTTTGTAAAAACATATAAACTGGATAATTTTTCTGTAGAGACTGCTAAAAGCATGTCATACTGAATGACTGATAGATAGTATTTAACATTTCAGTTTTATTTAGGCCTGTAATGTTTAACACATGTTGATTGAAGTATTGATGTCATAAGTTTGCGTTCAACTTTATTATTGTTTTGTTTCTGTTGGTAAATCAACTTATTAATTTTTTACTTTAGGTATCATAATTCATCACTGCCTCTCTCTGAAGGTGAGCACTTGTTTACTTTTGAGTCTGACCAGAGGTCAGTGCCTATGAATTACGAATTGCAGTCACCAGCATCAAATGCATCTTCCTATTTGAACAAACATTTGAATTCTATTGACAACAGTACAGTATCCTCTGTCCCAGAAGCTCATAGTTTGTTAGTGAATCTTGTCCTCTCAGACTCCATGTTTAACCTTTTCAAGGACCACAACTTTTCTAGTTGTACATTATGTGTATGTAACATGAACATCAAAGGTGCCGACACAGGGATCTACCTGTTAGACTCCATGTTGCCTTTTTCTACTGATGAACCTCAGTACAAATGTACATGTGGGTTCAGTGCAGTTGTAAACAGACATCTCAGTTACCACTCAGGTTTATTTTACGAAGATGAAGTTGAGGTAACAGGGGTTCCATATGAGCCCATACATCATCATCGGAAAGGTTTGAAAACTTTACTAGAACCTTCAGTCAGAAGGGAAGTGAACCAGGTAAATGGAGCAATGCATTTAACAAAAACATTAGACACCAAAGAGATAACAGCTCTAAATCGAATACCCCACCATGTTCTGGATATGATTCGAGACCAGTGTCAAACAATTCAGTCTGCCTACTCATGGCTGAACAAAGCAGTCCAGCTGAGAAGTGCTAGTAATCCAATAGCTTTTTGGAATCACTTAGAACTAATGGACCAGTGTCACATCTGTTTCCTGGCTTTGGACAGTGCCTGCCAGCTAATGGATAACATCAATAATAACAAACTTGATGAAAGGCTCAAATCATCTTGTCTTCATAAGTGGCCCTCTTTGTCAGGTGAGCTTCTGAATATGTAATAAAGGATGCTTTTAAATTCAGTACATTTTGGTTAATATTATTTTATTAGGTGGATGTTTTTGTCATTCGTTTTTAAGAAACCTGTTTTTAGCCAAATTTAAATTCTTAAAAGCTTACTTAACTTTATTTCAGTCATTAGATTCTAATTTTTTTATTATCAGATTTTATAATGGCAGTTATTGTTGTAGATAATGTCCAGTGTTTTCTTTCTAAGATTCAGGTTTTGTTTTTACCCAATGCTAGGTTATAGCTAAAAACATTTATTTTATAATAACAGTTTCTGGAGTAAATTTGTGCAAAATAGGTAATAACAGGAAGAAAAAAAGTGCCAGTACTCGTATGCATATACAACAAAGGATTTTGGTTACATGTGTAATTTATATCAATTTACTAAATGAAGATACGTACTACCTTATTTTGATGGTTTTAAATAAATGTTTATATATATTTATACAGTAACATCTCGATAAGCATATGTTTGATAAGCAAAGTTTCGTTATAAGTAACTTTTGATTTTTTTCCCATTATTTGACACAGAAAGCTAAAAATATTAAAATAAATACATACACTGAAATGAATAATAAATGTATTGATCTACAGTACAATATAAATAAGAATAATATTATAATAAGATATGGATTTTTAGTGTTGCACATTGAGAGGGTCATATATTGTTTGTTAACATTCTTCTCGGCTGTCAGGTTTTATGTGTTGGGCAGGATTCTTTACCATAGGTGTCTGTGAGTTGTTGGCAATAAAATTCAATAAACAAATGGCACACACAATCTACTTGTTTTGAAATAATATATATAATAAATGAAGTTAATGGTAAATTATGAAGTGTTTAAAGTATGAAATGGTAAGTTATGAAGCTCCAGGAAGACATCTTATTTCGAGGTATTACTGTATATATTCACACACACATTAGAATATAATAGACAGGTAACTAAATTATAAATTTTGAATTTGTACATGTGCCTTAGACTCTTTTTTTTGCTTCCTATTTACCTGTACAAAAAAAAAAGACACATTAATATCAGTCACATCATCAGTAATTTGATGATAACAGGTTTTGAAAAGAACACTAATTTAAAAAAAATGGAAATGTAGAATGTTTAATTTATAGTAACTAATAATATTAATATGGCACGGGTAAGGCTTTCCAAGAATATTGTTATGAATGAATTTTTTCTAGAAATAGTTGAACTTGTGTCAGGTAATAAATGAATATGTGATGTTTACTTAATAATCTATAATTCAATGCATCAGATATTTGAGATTATATTAGGAAAATGTACTGTTTATCAAGCAACACATGAGATGCTAGGGGCAGGAAAGAATAAAGATGGAAGATAAAGATGAACATGCGCAGCTTGACAGAATTAACTGATCTTGTAACCACCATGTAATAATGAAACTGTACATACTATAACTTTGAATGTAGTAAGTGTATCTTCATAAAATTTGACAAGCATTTAGTAAACATTACAAGTCTGTTGTGCAGGAAAAATCAGATTTTTTAATAAAATATTTGTAGTAAAGGTTATGAAGCTTCTTTTAATGAGTCAGTCGGAGTGTAGGTTAATATTATATTAAGAATTAAAATACTTTTTGATCTCTCAGTTTTCAAATTTTATTTATGTAACCTCTAAAACCTCCTAAATGAATATCAGAAGTTTTTTTACTAAACCTTGTATTTTATGTGTTATTGTCCGTACACTAACAGTGGATTCAGTTACCAGCTTGATCATGTCGAATTACGAGTCCTGTTTATGCTTGGCATGTGCTATCATTGATCATGAGTATTTTTTTACTTTTTTCTTTAGCTAACTTAACAGGTTTTAAATTTCTACATTTTAGTCACTTTTATAACAATAAACAAAAAATATTCTTAAAAGCCCAAAAATTTGGTACTTGTGACTGAAACCTTGTCTTTTTTTCAAGCTTTTGTACCTGTATGGTATAAGTTGATGTCAAAGACTAGCCCTAATTCTTAATAATGATAATGCGATTTCAGAAATTATTATGTTTTAATCCAGATATGCAATATAGAATATGAAATATTGCCATGAACATAAAGTAGAATGCCCTAAAACTAGTATAATTTTCTGGCTTTCATACTAAGCTAGAAACAAATTAAATAATTCCTATACGATCTCAAGTGGTAAACAAAGAAAATGATGCAAAAATATTAAAATCTGCTTATTCCAAGAGCTTGAGGGAACTATGAATTCAGTAAATTGAAATCTGTAATTTCTGTTGGTTACAAGTAATCCAATAGCAAATGTTGGAGAGAATTCATGACTATTTTTGAAAACAGGATGTTGTACAAAGGATGTGACATGTGATCATCAGTTTATTGTTTATATCTCCATAAACTAAGAAGGCTAAACACCATGAATTAACATTTTAGCTTGGGGATATCTAACCTATAAGTGTGTACTTCCCAGGACACTAAGAAAATCTTATAGGGATGGAAAGGAAATCTGAATTGAGCAATTCAGAACTAAGAACTGTCATGTAATACAGAAAAGTGAAGATTAACAATTTAGTTAAATATTTCCTTTTGAAATCAAGAAATTTGGATTATAAACTACATTTTGATGCCAAGTTTATTAGCATATATTTGTTAATAAAGTCATTTAATTAAATTTTGAGTATAACTGTAAAACATCGTGACATGCGCACTTTGACCGATCGGTATCCAGAGGGTTAATAGTGTTGGGATTTCAGACTATCATATGCTCTTGAGATGGAGAAGTTAATTATTACAGAAGTTGTGTAATGCTATTGTGTTCATGTATGTGTAGTTTGTTAGTGTTTGTCATTGTGTTTAGAACCAAGAACCATACCAGAATAAAAATGGTTTCAGTACTTTTAGTTAAAAGTTTTACTTAGTAGCAATTTTACTTAATTTAACGAAAAGCTTTATGTAAGAACAAAATGAAAAGTTTGACACTTTAATGGGCTAATACTGTAATATCATTTTTAGGGATGAGCATGTTTTGGTAATGTGTGTTTCTGGGCCAGCTGCCATAGCTTTAACAAGTGCAATTGTATATTGTGATGGTGTAGTACTGTAATTCATCTATAAACATTGTAGATGTTTCATCAGCAGGACTAATTTCTTGTATGATGTGTCCTATTTAATAAGCACCTAACACGTAGGGCAGAAGAGGCACATACCCCTCCCCACACACTTTCCAACAAAGTTAGGCAGTCATGTTCTGTATGTGTAATTAGAGTTTACAACTTAGTAACTTGTAAGTGTAATTGGTCAATCTCACAACCTGAAAATATTTTCAGTAGCATGATTGTTTGATAAATGTATAAACATGTTAATTCAAATATTTCAATACTTTCTATACAGATGCAAGTGGAAAAATAGTATAATGATTTCTGTGTCAGTGTATGGATATGTTAACATGTACACACACATAAGAAAATATTGCTTTGGCCCTTGCAGCGTGGGTGGGCCAAGTTACACACGTTACTATGGTTTTACACAGTTACATTAAACATTTAATTGAATAACTTTATTCTCAATGTATATCAATATATATGGGATCAAAAGGTAGTTTAGAATTGAAATTTTAATATTATATAAGTGTTAATTTCTCAATTTCAAGAGGAAATATTTAAATTTCTAGAGCTTCACTGGCTTTTATGATATGACACTTCTTCACTCTGAATTTTGCACTGAATGTTTACCCATATATATGACCTCCTAACTTTATGAGAAATTTTGCACTTATATTATTCACATCCACAAGCTAATTTTTATTTTATGGAGATATAAGCAATAAGCTGAAAGCCACATGTCATGCCACTCCAAGAACATCCTATTTGCAGAAAATGTCAATAATTCTCTCTGACATTTGCTGTTGGAGTAATTGCAACCAATAGTTAGAGAGGTTTTAAATTTTCTGAATGAGATGGAGTCTGAATCCATTGGAATAGATAGATTTGAACATTTTGCTGTCAGTGTCTTTCTTTGCCTGATTGGAACCCTCATTGAAAAGGTATTTAGAATTAAAAAATAATAATTTTTGAGATCATACTATCACTATTAAGATTTAAATCTAGAATTTCACATAGAATTCTATTATAAGATTGCAAAAACTTGAGAAAGACAAGATTTTAGCAGTAACTACTAAATTTCTTGTTTTTTATGTACTGTTGCGTCATCAAGATCATGTGATTCTCACGCTCTCTACTTTCTAGAATTATCCTGTATTTTGGCGAATGTTCTAGTTCTTACTAGATATAGGGTAGGCGGATATATATAAGAGGGGACAATGTGACGCGGTAAGGTAATGTGTGAGTAGATAGTGAGTAATTGAACTGCAGCCACAGGGTATTGTTGAAGTTAACGTTTGTTCGTTATAGTGTTTGTTTTAACGCGAATATTGAAATAAGTGTATCGTAAAGTTATATTCGGGAAGAATAAACCAGTTTTATTAAGTAAAGACTTGTGTCGCTTAAGTTCGTCGGAACAAAGTTACGGAAAATCAATTAACAAACGGAGACGTAACAGTACGTTATTTATGGTTATAAAAGTAACTAAAATGTAAAAATTAAAAACCTGTTATATTAGATAAGAAAACTTATTGGAAAAAATAATCATGTAGCACAAGCTTAGTGCAAGCACAACTGTGTAATTCAGCAAGTATTTGCTGTTAACTTGATCTTTTGCTTACACAAATCTGTCTGTGTAATAAATAGCTGATTGCATTACTCTGAAAGTGTCTATAAGTGCAACTGTAAACTAAATGAAAAATCTATCACCTTGAGCTGTAAAAATAAAGAGTGTGTAATTGTTTCTTACAATGTGCAATCATTCTGGAAAGAAAAAAAAAAAGAGGTAATTTTGATTTTTTTCATATTTTTTTTTATGGTGGTTACAAGGTCAGTCAAATCAACCAAAGCCCATATATTTAGTGTTAAGGAAGAGAAAATAACAAATGAAATATAAAGTTTTATTGCAAAACATTTGATGTTCATTTAGGAGACCCAAGAGATTATACAAATGAAACATAAAAACTATAAGATGATAAACATTTTTATTCTTAGCATGACAATCATCTTACACTCTGACTGTGTTGTTAAAGGCATTATAAATTTATAGACACATTTTTAGAAAAAAAATACTTCATTAAAAAAATCTGATTTTTTGTGTATAACAGACTTGTAATGTTTACTGAAAGCTTGCTAAATATCATAAAAATACACTTATTATTAAGAGTTATAGTGTGTATAGTTCCATGGTTACAAGGTTATACATAAGCTGTATATTTGTTTTTTTACAACTGCTAAATTTCATTTAATTACTAGTATGCCATCTTACACCTGATAAATTGCACTCAGTGACTAGAATGCTTTCTTTCAGAGGTTGTATATTTGTTTCCTAACATTTGGTAAATTGCATTCAGCTACTAGAATCCTTTCTTTCAGAGGTTATATATTTGTTACCTAACACTTGGTAAATTGCACTCAGTGACTAGGATGCTCTCTGGCTGAAGCTGTTCATTTTTTTCTCCTTATTCTAGCCAATTAATAAGGATTATTTTTGTGTAAAGTTTCACATTATTTGTGTTTCACTAGGTAAACTGCCAGCCAGTGACCAGGATGTCCTTCGCTTACTGCGGATGATTCAACCTCTGCTTCAAGAAGCAGTACAGAAGAAGATCATGCAGGGATTATTTGAAGTAGCTTATACGGTATCTGGGCCCTTAACATGGAGACAGTTTCATAGACTTGCAGGCAGAGGTAGTGTTCTTTTAAAAATTTCTTGTTATGGAGACATAAATAGTGTAGTGTATTATTATTATTAACTAAACTGTTGGAAGTCAAAAAGAATATAAACAAAGTGTTTATGAAAGTAAACTTCCAATGAGGAGCAAGCAATTGATTGAGGTTTGGTAAGCATTTGAGATTGGTCTTAAGGAATAACATTTTATGGAACTTTGTCCTAGTTTCAACTAAATAAGACACTAGCTGAATTCTGACTAGAAATGCAGAATGTATGATTCTATTTCTTGTGAAGTTGGAGTTTAAAAAATGTACCTTCTCCTTAAAATCTTGAAGGGTTCAAAAGGTACTTACAGAGTTCTACAAAGTACCTTTATTTTCAAAATGCAATGTGATTTGTGAGGAATCTATAATGCTTGTGGTCTGTTTACAGACAAGTTTATTAGTATGTTGTATTTTTTTTCACTTTTTGATAGAGCCATCCATATATCTTTAAAGCTGAAACTTACTGTTCTATCTAAGGACTAAAATTTAAGTAGAAGGATATTAAAAAAAGCAGGAATTAAATAAATTGGTACTTTTAATACTACTAATACAATGGAACTTAATAATTCTGTTTTCCAGTACTTATAGAATATACAGAATTCCACCAGGAAAATTATTATTAATGAAACTTAACTCCTTAAACCCAAGCAGACACTGCCAGCATCCAGCTGAAAATCACAATTTAACTATCGGATGGAGACAGCATCTGATAACATTTATGTCTCTTTGGCTGAAAACTAATCCAAACCATGTTATTATCCACCTTTTATAACTAGACCGGAAGTTTCACGAAACATTGTCGTTTGCTTTGAAACAAATTTCAGATTAACAAGTAGAATGTGCAATAAATTACAGGTTTAAAGAGTTAATAATTCCATTTCCCAGTACCTATAGAATGTACAGAATTCTACCACGAAAGCTATTTTTCAATGGATCTTAATAATTTTGTTTCCTAGTGTCTATAGAATGTACAGAATTCTACCACGAAAGCTATTTTTCAATGGATCTTAATAATTTTGTTTCCTAGTGCCTATAGAATGTACAAAATTCCACTAGGAAAGTTAAAGTTTGTCATACAGTTTGCATTATTTGTAGCATTTAAATTTGTTTTCTGTGTCATACATTGTTATTTATGCAGTGCATGTGACTATACCTTACTCATATTAAAAATTACTTATTTTTCAAGATTATTTGATGAAGAAGAAAAGCCTGCGAATTACAATATTTATATTGCAACTGCATGGATCTAATTGAAATTATTCTAAATATCAAATTAACAAAATGTTTGATTAAAGGTCCAACATTAAATCATGTTTTGTGAGAGAAAAATAAATCACAAACTATTTTCTCACAGAAAGAACAGAGTTAGAACCATTTGTCTCTTTAACGTTTTGTTACAATTGTTTTAGTAATTTTACTTCTTTTTTCTTTAGAATGAAAATACATTTAGTCAGATTTTAGCTCACTTTGATTAATTGGTCATGCCACTTTATTTCAGGAACTGAAGATCAGTGTGAACCACAACCTATTCCTACACTACTTGTAGGGTCTGATAAAGACTGTTTGGCTCTCTCTCCCTACACACTTAAGTTCTGGGTGAGTGGTCTACAGTAGTTATTTATTTGTTTAGTTTTCAGTTTCTACCAAAATAAAATAAAAAATACTTGTGTAAGAATGTCATCTTAAAATAATTTGAAACCTGCCAAATATAAGGAACTTCCTCAGTTAAATAATAGTCTACTAAATAACAGTGATGTAAAACTTGTGTTTTTTAATAATATGGTTTTTATAGAAAATGGAAAAAAATCCATAATTTTTATACTATTCATGTATTTATTTACACTTCATTTCGATATGTACAACACATTTTAACTAAACTTTACCAGCATGTAGCAAACTGATCGTGTAA